CATCGACACGTCTTCGGACGTAGGCCAAACGGGTCACTTTCATCGACACGTCTCCAGACGTAGGCCAAACGGGTCACTCTCATCGACACGTCTCTGGACATAGGCCAAATGGGCCACCCTCATTGACACGTCTCCGGACGTAGGTAAAACATGTCTCAACCCAGAAACACTCAAGCAGTTCACAAGATACTATGCAAATTGAAGTTGAAAAAATAACTGAAATTTCCTTAGTAAAGTGACCAACCGGCCAAAGTTCAACAAAAAGAAGACGGTCAGGCAAGACCAATTACTCTAAATGAGAAAGCAGACTACAAAAGCTAAAAAGAGATAAAGAAGTCTTCATCTACTCCGAGACGCCAGCAGGAGATCCCTGATCTGCAGCCACTTCAGCGTCTGTCTGATCAGCCACACTCTCAGCAGCTCCACCTGCCTGATCCTCCACGTCTGCCCCCACCTCCTTTTTGAAGGAGAAGAAATGTTGTTTCCTTTTGTTTTTCCAAGGAAAGACTTGGGAAAGTACCAAGATCGCCAGCCTGACGGATTTGATGAACCAGCTCAGCACAAGTGGATGGACTTGACATAAAGTTCATCTTGAGCAGATCAAACACGCCTGCATCCTCTGCAAGGGTGGACTTGTCCACCTTGGGATCAGCTGTTGACGTTGCAGAAGAGCCCTTTGCCCAGGCAAATGCCTCTCTTACTTTATTAGCCTCTGTCAACCTCACTTCCAAAGGAATTGGCGACGATGAATCCACTCCATGCTTGACTGCTCATGACTCAACAGTTGAAACATAATGATTGGATGGATGAGCAGACTGCCCAGATCGACTTCCAATCTTCGACTGGTACAAACGACTCAAATTTCGAAAAGGAGCATCCGCATCTCTTTGCCTCTCAACAAGTGAGCTAGATCGCGCACGGACTACTTTACGGAGCATATCACGATCTCCAAACTCATCAGGCTTGAGCTCTCGAAGACTGATATCAGCCTTCCTCTTTTAGGGGAGTTTAGCAAAACACTCCTCATGTCTAGCAGGCAAATCATCAAGGCTCGGACCATCCTGCTTCCATCTATCGACATCCTTAGCAGGGGGCAGTCCACCAACTTCCTCCTGATCGTCGCTCAGCAGACTCGACTTACTTTGGGATGCACGGCAACTCCTCTCTTCGACAAGCAGTACAAAATTCTCCAAGATCTTTCTCAAGCTAGAAAGTAGAGAAGTTAAGTTTGCGATGTAAGAAAGAGTGAAGAGAAGCCCTGTATTTATACAAGTTGGACAACCCGGGTCAAGAAGGAATCTCAAGCTCTTTCCTACTGGGAATCCAACTCCAACAACAGTCAGAAGCCTACACCAATTAAGAATCCGATCTGCAAAAGGAGTCCAACTCACAGAAGAAAGCCCAGACTCAGTTGGAG